AGAATATGACACAGGGCTCCTCCAGACTTGAAATCCAAAAAACACTTCATCTACGGGAGAGAGGAGAGCATCATCAGAAATCTACATGGTGCACTGATTACTTTAATGCATTCAACTCAATACTGTTATGAAAGAAGGCTTGTGTGAGTACCGGTAGTTTAGTAAGGGGAGGGTTGCTGACATGTCGGCCAAACACTTCCTCCTGAAACTGAAGCAGTTGAACCACCAGACTCGACAAAGATTTATTGGTGGGGGGCTCTGCTTGAATATACTAGAAAGAACCACAGAAAGTTTAAGGAGCTAGACACCATAATAAAAGGAACATACATAAAGATGAATCACAGAGCAATACATCAACCAGGCAGATTAATCATTCATTATTTGGCCATTCTGATTTATCAGAATTATATTGTGTTGATTTTTGTGACCATTGCAATCATTATATTGTATTACGTATACTGTGGGGCTCAATTTCATGTTAATTCAAACTTTCGCTCAAATGTAATGCTGATAATATAAATCATGAAAAGTATATATTAAATTAGAAAAAATTTAAATAAATACACATGGACATCCTTGATCTGTCAGCTTTCCTCCATACATAAATGGAACATTTAGATTTATCACAATCTGCATCACTTGACTATTTAAAAAATGTTAAAATCAGTACCTTTAAACTACATAAAAGTGAAGCAAGATGAAGCAATGAGCTCTGAACAAGATGTAAATGACTGAACATCAATGCATCCTCAAACGCTGTGATGACAGTGCACATATTTTATAAATAAGTTTCATATTTTTATTTGAAATTTAAATTCATTCATTTATGTTTCTGTATTGTAACCTTAATTTCATAATATTATTATTGTAATAATTCCAGTGTAAATCCATTCAAATTAGGTTTGCTTTGAACTAGATTATATAAAAAGACGTGTTATGTGTAAAGAATGTATTTCTTTACCTCATATATATGAAATACATTAACAATTTCATGCAACTGAGGTGTTTTGTTAGCGGAAAATTAGATTTCGTTGCACACTATAGTCGAATTCCACACATTGTTTTATCGTATCAAGTAATTTCCAAGAGTAAATTATAGAGAGAAAAAACATTCTTTACATCCGACTGTGAATTTCTCATCGTCTGTATCACATTGCTGCTTTTTATAAGCACAGCGCGCGAGATTTGGCTGCACATCTGGATTCACGCACTTGCGCTGCCAATACCGCAGCCCCGTTACACGAGCTGGCCTCTCTTGAATAAAAGAGAAAGGCCATTCATAAAAACCTATTAGAGAAGGTCTAATGACTAGCCAGAGATGTAGAAACGACATCAGATATTGAAGATGAAGCCGATTCTTGGGTACGTCTTAAGACTTTTCTCAAGACACGCATGCAGCATCTTCTATTGTCTGAGACGCGTCAGACTGGATTTTAAACAGCTGGATTTCTCTCCATCTCCTTTCCTGCCCTCCCCTCTCCTTTCTGCATACCCGCATCGAGTCTGTCCTTTCCTGCACAAATAACTCAATGACCGTTCGTGCTGGTTACAAATAAACGAATGGTACCTTTTTATAATTCTTGCCCAGCCAAACCCGGACATTGTCGAACTGCGAGACGGTATCGGACGCTTCGAAATATTTTACATTCGGGCCGCCGTCTTTCTTCCGTACCGCCATCTTTGTCTGCTCCAAAGTTTTGCCACCCACCGCCCTCTGGCGGTCATTTGTTTTTTACTAGATTGACTATGAAACGACCCCCATTCTGGCTCAAATTCTAGGTTTACGCTTCTCTTGCAGCTTTGAGAAAACTTGAGCCAAAATGGCGGAAAAAGGGGGCCAGTGACTTCCCTGTATCCCAACCCCCTTCTCCAAATAGTGAATCACATCTCCACATTGAGCTTTGCACAATAGATTGTTGTAGTAGCCCAGTCCTCGTATTTTAGTAACCTTGATGGACCTCTACCACCTGGTTCAGAGTAGCCCCATATTTCTCTCAAGCTGTAAAAATGTAAAGGCAAATCACCCAAATCACTTGATTTTTTAACGCTCAATAACAGTCTTGTAGGCTACTTACCACGCACCAGCAAACAGCAGGTCATTTTGAATGGCTAAAATGAGGAACGAAATGTGTCTGTCAGCATCCCATAAATGCTATAACTCACGATGTTGTTAAACTGGATGCACTTGACCATCTCTTACTCTTCAAGTTCAAGTCCAGTCTTCAAATAGCAATACCTAAAAGTATCCAATAGGTGTCGCTGCTGTCTAAAGTAAAGTTGTCAGTGCTGCGTTTGGTTTGCTTAGTGCTGGTTGTTCGGTAACATTACCTGCTGGCAACATAGTTTAATCTCATGTTCTGCCCATTTAATGGCCCAGTAAACATGCTTATCAATATGATAGGCCTACCTCTTGACTTTTCCTAATCTATCTATCTACAGGTGAAACTCAAAAAATTAGAATATCGTGCAAAAGTTCCTTCATTTCAGTAATTGAACTTGAATGAACTAACTATTAACTAATAACTAATATATTAGTGAAACTAATATATTATATAGACTCATTACATGCAAAGTGAGATATTTCAACCCTTTATTTGTTATAATTTTGATGATTATGGCTTACAGTTTATGAAAACCCCAAATTCAAAATTAGAATATTGTGAAAATGTTTTCATAGCTGTAAGCCATAATCATCAAAATTATAACAAATAAAGGCTTGAAATATCTCACTTTCCACGTAATGAGTCTATACAATATATTAGTTTCACCTTTTAAGTTGAATTACTGAAATAAATGAACTTTTGCATGATATTCTAATTTTTTGAGTTTCACCTATCTATCTATCTATCTATCTATCTATCTATCTATCTATCTATCTATCTATCTATCTATCTATCTATCTATCTATCTATCTATCTATCTATCTATCTATCTATCTATCTATCTATCTATCTATCTATCTATCTATCTGTCTATCTGTCTCTCTGTCCGTCCATCTATCTGTCTGTCTGTCTATATGGATAAGTTTTCATGTTCATGTCTACAGAATACATTTGTGAGAATCTTACCCTTCAGTGCTTTTTCAAATTATATTTTAAACTGTGATTGTGAGGCCTTGCGTACACAATAAATTTGAGCTGCAGAGACCTGCAATGTCAGTGTAGATTGACAAACAGTGAAACTTTCTCCTTCCTAACCATGTTTCTGCCAGAGTCATCATAATTTCAGAGAGTGTTGGTGTTGTGTCTTGCCAACATCTCTTTGACCTTTTTACTATTGTCCTTCAAAGGATGCCCAGCCATCTATTTCCCCTCATTACCAAGGAAAAGTGTCTGTGTCTGGGTGGTGAATAGTAATCAACACTGTCAATGTCTTCCTCACTAATTAGTGGTGTTTTTGTGTGTGAGAGAAGGAAAGAAAGCTAATTTTGTTTGCGATTTAAATCTATTTTAACTGTATTTCTACCTTACATGTTCTTTTTATAGGAGTATTAGGAGCTCAGTTTCAAATTGGGGGAGACATTTATTGATTATATGTTGGTTAGATAAGTGGCTTTCCTGGCATTCAGTACAAACACACAAACTCAAATGAAATTAACTAGATCATCAAATGTCCAGCTTTAATTAAAAATGGAAGGCAATTAGTTGGCAATTTAATGTGTGTTATACTCAGAAATAAAGACTGACGCGAAAGTGTTTATTTTTTATTTACAACATGTAGGCTACTCTTTAACATGCCAGAATAAAAGTCTGCAATAAGTATTAATTACACAACAGCAAGGCTTTACAACAGCAATCAATCTACAAGTCAAATATTTAGAAGCAAATTTCAAACACTTTTTATTGATATGGACACACACTTAAAAACTTAAATTGCTGATACATGAGCACAGACGCACGCACACACACACACACACACACATGGATCAGGTCACTTTTACTGTAAATGTATACTAACAACTGACTCTACAGGATGTTTTGTGCCATTATACAGAGAGTGAGTAATATATATATATATATATATATATATATATATATATATATATATATATATAATTTCACAATAGTCTCAAAATTTCTCCAGTATAAACACTGTGTACATACTTAGTAGACATAGAGGTTAAAAACATACAGTTTCCATGCCATGGAATGCATACAACCTTTTCCAAGTTACGCACACACATACACATGATGCAGAGGATGGAGATCTAGTAAAATGCAACAAAAATAATTAGGTAATCCTTAAAGGTAGTTTTCTTTTTTTCAGCCTAATGATATATGGATCTGGATGAGCTTTGCACACATGATTTTAAAAGGCATACTGTAGCATAACATTATCTAAAATAAAAATATCAACTTAATAAATGTTCACCATTGTTCACTCAAAATAAAACAATTAAGCCCCAGTCTATTTCAAGTTAAAAAGTAAAATCAATTAAAAAGTAGTAAATACACCATGACCACATCAAGAGGACTGTTAGCAATGTTTCGAAGCGGACCCCTATTTACTTTCTTAATACACATTCATGGTGTTTTAGTGATCGATTCATCGATTCATCGATTCATCGATGCACAATATTCCAAAGAAAAAGCATGTTTGTCTACGTGATCTTTCATTAAAACTAACTTGCTCTGCTTGCGAAATGAGAAAAGTAATATTTTCTTTTCAGAACCATTTTTTGGCTGTATATGGTTCATGCATTGGTTACAATGAAGAAGAAGAAAGTTCTCAACTATTAAGATTTGTTTTCAGAGAATGCATGTTGTCATAATTCATTGGCAGTTTTTTTTCCTACTTTAAATTACATTTAGTAAGCTTTTTTTCATCTTTAGATTGTACACCTGTCAGAGAGACCACTTTTTTCAATCCAATTAATTGCCAGTGGATCAAATCAATTCCCGGCCTTTTTTTTCCTCATTGAAAATACTGTTTTCCTTAGGTTGTCAATGCTGATGCCTTTATAGCTATAATCGGAATACTTTCAGCTGTAAAGTTAATTTTACAATGTTTCCTCTTGATGTTGTATCAAGTGTTGTATCACATGAATCAAATGTTTTTGTTTATCAATCAGTCTGATGTGAGGGAGTTAAATATGTGATATTGTATTTGTGTTTTTGTATGTTTGTTAGTCGGGGTAGATGAGAAAGCCGCTGAATGTGCTATATTTGTTGGTGTTTCCTCCATGTACTTTTCCACCATCCAGCTGCACACAGACCTCATCTCCCACATCTAAATGTAGGATCACACTGTTAGAGGCGTAGTCATAATTCTGATCTGCGTCCTGAGCGATCGCACTGGCCCTCACCTGAAGAGAGAGAGAGAGAGAGAGAGAGAGAGAGAGAGAGAGAGAGAGAGAGAGAGAGAGAGAGAGAGAGAGAGAGAGAGAGAGAGAGAGAGAGAGAGAGAGAGAGAGAGAGAGAGAGAGAGAGAGTAATGGTTTTAATGTTGGATAAAAGGAACAATGATCAGGAGGACAAAATACACAACAAAATAAATCCTGTTTGGATTTTATAGGCAAACGCTTAAGAGTCTATATTGGATCATTATTGCAGTGACTATTATGCCATGTTATATGTTTGGCAACAGTTCTTCTAACACTAATTGATGGAGTGTGTAGCTTCTCATTTCTTAAACAACCATGTAGGAAGACACATCACGGCCATATTCCAGGATGACAATGTCAAGATTCATCAGGCTCAGATTGTGAAAGAGTGGATGAGAGGGAGCAGGAAGAATAATTTTTTGATTTGATTTTCATCATCCTTAAATTCATTGAAAGCCTTTGGGATGTGCTGGAAGAGACTTTACAGAGTGCTGGACTCTTGCATTGTCAAAACAAGATCTTGACCAAAAATGTTTGCACCTTTTGATGGAAATAAATGTTGTGATGTCCTATGGAGTGCATTTATGTTATGTATTTAAGCTCTAAAGCTTTAACTTTATAATATCACAGCAGTCTACAACTTCCCCTTTAAATCCTTTAATCTCTCTGTAAACATGGCACTCTTTCTCTCTCTCTCTCTCTCTCTCTCTCTCTCTCTCTCTCTCTCTCTCTCTCTCTCTCTCTCTCTCTCTCTCTCTCTCTCTCTCTCTCTCTCTCTCTCTCTCTCTCTCTCTCTCTCTCTCTCTCAAAATTCAAATGAGCTTTATTGGCATGACTTATACAGTATTGCCAAAGCATTGGCCATTACATAGGCAATGAACAAATAATCGATAAATTAATAATGTAAACAAATGCATGAATATATTACATTTATATCATAATGAATCAAAATGAAATATATCAAAATAAAAATAAACACACACAAAAAAACAACAACAACAACAACACACAGTTTTGAACCAACATTCAGACTTTAATTTTGTCCACTGGCTGACTCTCGTAGTTTGTGGCAGGCTATTACATACTTTGCTGCTGTTGTGATTGAGCAAGAGTTTTCTCCCAAAATATGAATTAATTTTTCAGAATTTGGCAATGCCATAAAATTTGGTTCTAGCTGTTGAAATCTAGTGAAATAGTCCGATCTAATGCTGTGATAGTGATCGCAGTGTATGAGGAAGTGTTCTTCTGTCTCCACCTCTCTCTGAGAGCACAGAGAACACAGTCTCTGCTCTCTCGGCTGCCATCTCTGCCGGTGCCGTCCTCTCTCTACAGCCAGACTGTGGTCACTCAGCCTATATCTGGTTAGGGTCTTTCTCACTTTATGCTCTTTCACACAGCTCAGGTATTCTGCTGGTTTATACTCTCTTTTCAGGTTTAAATAGAGTTCCATCTTCTTTTGTAATTTAGTAGCATCTTTCCAATAGTTAATGTAATTTAGTTTTTGTAATTGTATAATTTGGTTTGGCCAGAGAGTGCTGTGCTGGTCTGGCTGTAGTTTGAGCATCAGCTGTGAGAGTGCGCTCCGGGGCCGGTTCTGCTCCTGACACCGCAGGGCTTCGGCCTGGTAAGAGCTCGGGTCACTGCGCTTCAGGTGCTGGTAGAACTTTATAGCTCTTTTTTGGATAGTGATCAATAAGGGGTATTGTCCTAATTCAGCTCTGCACGAGTTGTTTGGTGTCGCTCTGTTTACTTTTAGGATGCTTTTACAAATTTGGGTATGCAGAGTTTCAATTTCCTCTTTTTCCCATTTTGAGAAATCTTGGTTTTTAGAGGTCCCCATACCTCACTGCCGTACAGAGCAATCGGTTCGATTATTGCTTTTAGGATTTTTAGCCAGGTTTGAATTGGAATTTCATGTCGAATAGTATTTTTAATCATGTAGAAGACCCTCATCGCTTTCGCCTTCAGTTCAGTCACAGCCAGATTAAAGTTCCCTGTCGAACTCAGTTTTAGCCCCAGATATGTGTATTCGTGGGTGTGTTGGAGGACTTGGTTTCCTGCTCTGAAGATGTATTTATTTTCCCTACACCTGGATCTATTTTGAAAAATCATTATTTTAGTTTTTGCGAGGTTAATTTTGAGAGCCCACGTTTGACTGAATGTCTCTACGACGTCGAGGAGCTGCTGTAGTCCCTCTTTTGTTTTTGACAGAAGGACTAAATCATCTGCAAAGAGGAGACATTTAACTTCTGATTGCGTCAGGGTTGGGCCGGGGGCCGTGGAGTTATTTAAGGCTTTGGCTAGTTCGTTTATATAAATGTTAAATAGAGTGGGGCTCAATGGGCAACCTTGTAAAACTCTCTCTCTCTCTCTCTCTCTCTCTCTCTCTCTCTCTCTCTCTCTCTCTCTCTCTCTCTCTCTCTCTCTCTCTCTCTCTCTCTCTCTCTCTCTCTCTCTCTCTCTCTCTCTCTCTCTCTCTCTCTCTCTCCCCCTCCTGTCTTATGATTTCTCGTCTCCTCCCTACGTAGGATATCTAAAGACCAAGACAGACCAAGGTCCAAGGGAATAAGGCTTATTGATCTGCGTATTGTATGTGTGTGGTGTGTAATTTATTGGAAAGGCTGTTAAACACTGAGGTCTTCAGTCATTCACAAATGTACACATTTGTTAAATTGTTAAACTCATGTAATTTTATTTGTGGTAACACTTTATTTTAAGGTGACATAATTACACATTACTACATGTACTTACTATAGTAATAACAGTAAATTATGTGTAATTACAAGTAACTATTCCTAAACCAAACCCTAAACGTAAGTAGTTAATTGATATATACTCAGTAATATCAATTAACTGATAGTCCGTATAGTTGCATACATGCATATGCTAAGAGAAAAACACTCAAGTGGTGGAAGGGAAATCAGGGAGGAGTAGCCTACAAAAAAAGCACGGTAATAGTTTATTTCAGTGTCTTTGTTATATGTTACATGTAGTTGCTATAGTAAGTATACTATTAATTGTGCTTAAGTACATGCAACTAACCTAAACCACAACCACAACCTAATCCTAACCCTGACCCCATAGTAAGTAGGCTACATGTAGTTAATTGTTATACTTAGTACACTTTAAAATAAAGTATAACCAAAAGCACTAACAGGTCATTCTTTTTTGAAAGTCAACAATAAAATCAACACATTTGTCTTAAACCATTCAGATCAAAACACTGATTAATGCCTAAAGCTTCAAACACGGCCTAATTTTTGCACTGCTAATTAATGCATGATCTTAGTATAAGAACCAAAGCTTAATTAATATTTCCATTCATATGTATAATTAATGAGTAGGCTAGTAATTCAGATTAATCTAGCCTATAGGCTACTTCTCACTAAGCTCTGCTACCATAAAACAATCTATAAAATATTTATCTTTTTAATTCTAGAGTATGATACACTTTGTACTTTTGAAGAATAATGTTTTTCAAATGTATTTCAGTCGCGTCTTCAAGTCATCGACATTTTCTAGAGTTTGCGCTTAATTCTTCTCACATATACTCATTAATTATCCCTGTCTTTCCCCTCATCTTTCTTTTCCCTCCACCTCTTCCCCCGTATCTGTTCATTCCTTGCACCATCTATCCATCTTTTTCTGCGGGAATCGTAATAAAATGCAGGTCACGCGCGTGTCTCCACTGCGCGCCTCGTGTTGGCGCGTGTCCCTGTCCAGTCTAAATCGGATTGATTAACGGCGCGAGGTGGCAGGTCCCGCGGGAGGCCTGGGTCTGCGTCGGGGCCTCGCTGGCTCGGTAATTGACCGGCGCTGTGGCTCGGCTGTTGCTCCTAATGGGACCCACTCCTCAATAACTCCACTGTATCACAATAAACGGAGCTTCGCACCGACCACCGGTCAAATGGAGTCACTAACTATTAACTGGCTGTGTGTGTGCGCGCACGAGTGTGTGTGTGTGTGTGTGTGTGTGTGTGTGTGAAATACAGAGATATAGCTAGCTGGTAATAAATGTCTAAACGATATGGAAGTTGTGTTTTATTAAATGTGTGTTGTTTCCCCCCAGTGATTTCAAGGACCCGTTATCAGATTAAATAGCAGTTCTTCGGTTTAAACTATACAGACAGCTTCTGACAGAAAAGAGTGATGATAATGTAAAGGCTATTCGTTAAATAAATTCAAGAGCCAAATAAAACAACCAATTGCAAGAAGTGAAAGTAATAGTCTACACACTTTACACAGAAATGCACACAACGAATTGGTTGTGAACTTAATTTATTTTATTTAGTTGTGTGAATGTAATTTATTTTACATTTGACTTTCATGAAAGCCAATAAAATAAACATGACACATGGCTACGGCTACTTTTCAATCTATTTTCTTTTTTTCATGAGTTTATTTGTTTAAATAATGTTACTTGGGATTTTATTTGTTTGGCCATTCATAAAAGTACAAAAATGTATTTAAGGCATTTCTGTAAAAAAAAACAACAACAACTGTGTACTAAGCTGTGCTGTATATAATATTCATAAAGTTTCAGGACTAAGTATATTTCTTATCAAGTAATAATGATAATTATAATAATAACACTAATAATAATTATAGAATGTCAGTCCTCTCAAATAGAGGGCATGTAGCGTACCAGTGTGTAACCTCAGAATATATCATGTTCTGTTTCATGAATGAACAATTTATCTCCTGTAATTTTGTATTCATACAAATCCCCTGTTTCTGAGTAACATTTAATGGGCTAATATGACTGATTTAGCTTTTCTGATGCAAGTGTTTTTCATTTTACAAATTCGTAAAATGAAATACAGGGGAACTGAGAAAGACCAGTTTTGTGACATAATCAAAAGTGGATATGAAGAATACATTCAGTTCTAATGGTCTTTCTCCTTTTCCCTTATGTTGTCAGACAATATAGAGTTACATTTGTGCAAACAGTCTTTGTTGGAATGGGTGACACTGCTACATCC